TGGTTCAGAAGATGAGCACCCACAGCAGAGGGCTGCTTTCGGGGTTGACGGGAATGGGGGCGAGGGCAAAAGCAAAGGAATCCAGGAGCACACGGAGGGTCTGGCCAGAGGGGACAGGACAGCAGGCAGTTCTAGGGGTCCCAGGCAGCTCTGGTGCTGAAAGGGAGAGACGCCAGCCAGGAGTACTCTGACACTCTTCAGAAATGGAGAAACAAGGCTACGTGAGTCCTTCACCCCTGGACCGGTCTTGCACGGAGTGCAGAGGAGGGCTTCCAGCTGAAACAGACACGCTAATGGACAACATGAAAACATGCAGAGCGTGGCACACTGGAAAAACTGAAAATTTACATCAGGTACAGAAACTCTACAAAGAACAGAGTATTAAACACTTACTTATAAAAGCTAAAGAAAAAGCATTAAAAATGACTAGAGCTACTGAAATGTGTTAAAAATAGCATAACAGGTAAACTGGGATGTCACAAACAAAAAGGGAAGAGTAAAGGGGGAGCCTTTAGAGGTGAAGAAAGCTAAGCTGCTAACAAAATGGGCTGTTTTACCTGTCGTATGTCAGCCTCATGGTAACCACAAGCACAAATCTATAGATCTGATACATTTAAAAAAGGGAAACGGAGCATACGCCATGGAAAACCTCCAATTTACAAAGGCAGACAAAAACGGAGGGAAAAGAGAAACAGTGGAAATACAAAACATCCCAGTCAAGTGCACATGGAACACTCTCCAGGACAGACCAGATGACAGACACAAGACAAGTCTCAGCAAATTTTAAAAGATGAAGTCATCCCATTTTTTCTGACCACAGTGGTATGGAATTAGTAATCAGCAAGAAGAGGAAAGCTGGGAAATCTACACGTATGTGGGAGGTAAACAACACACTTCTGAAAAACCACTGGATCAGAGAACTCAAAAGGGACATTTTTTAAAATCTCGAAAGAAAGGAAAATGTGAATACACCATACCAACACCTATGGGATGCTGCGATAGTAAGCGTAAGAGGGAATTTTGTAAAGATGTGTATACATACTAAAAAATTAGATCTCAAAACTAACTTTATACCTCACAGAACTAGAGGAAGAACAAATTAAGCTCAGATTTAGCAGAACAGAGGAAATAATAAAGAGAAGACTGGAAACAAATTGACAAAGACCAGAAAAACGATACGCTCAACAAAACTAAGCTGGTTTTCTTAAAAGATAAAACTGACAAACTTTAGCTACAGAAAGAAGACTCAAATATATAAAATTGAAAGAGGAGCCAATACAACGGACACAACACAAACGAGATCAAAAGTGACTACTATGAACAATTAATTACATGGCAACAGACTAGATAACCTAGGAAAAAATGGATACATTCCTATAAACACATAACCTGCCAAGACTGAACCAGGAGGAAACAGAAAATCTGACCATACCGATAAGGAGTTAAAAGATTGAATCGATAATCAAACACCTCCCAATACAGAGAATCCAGAACTGGACAGCTTCACTGGCAAACCCTTTAAAACACTTGAAGAATTCGTGTCAATCCTCCTCAAACTCTAACAAAAAATTGAAGAGGAGGAACAATTCCAAACTCATTCAGCAAGACCAGCATTGCCCTGACACCAAAGCCAAATAAGGCCACTTCGAGAAAAGAAAACAAGATTGGCATCCCTGATGAGCACAGGTGCAAAAAATCTCAACGAAACATTAGCAAACCAAACTCAAGAACACATTAAAAGGATCACACACCATGACCGAGTGGGACCTACCTTTGAGATACAAGGATGGCTCAACATACACAAATCGATAAACATAGTACATTAACAGAATGAAAGAAAATCACATGATCATCCCAACAGATGCAGAAAAAGCATTTGATAAAACACAACACCCTTTCATGATAAAAAAAAAAAAAAAGACTGAGTATAGAAGGAATGTATGGAGCTCAACATAATAAAGGCCATATAGGACAAACCCATACCTAACATTATACTCAATGGTGAAAAACTGAAGTTTTCCCTCTAAGATCAGGAACAAGACAAGGATGCCCGCTCTCACCACTTCTATTCAACATAGTAGTGGAAGTCCTAGCAACAGCAATTAGGCAAGACAAAGAAAAGGTGACCAAACTGGGAAGGATGAAGTAAAATTGTCATTATTGGCAGGTAATGTTATTTTCTATATAGAAAATCCCAAAAACTCAATTAAGTAAAGTTGCAGGATATAAAATCAACATAGGGACATCAGTTGCACTTCTATACACTAAAAAACGAACATTTTAAAAATTAAGAAAAGTATCCCATTCACAATACCATCCAAAATCAAAACTATCCAGAAATAAATTTAGCCAAGGGAATAAATAGAAGATCTACATTACAAAAACTATAAGACTGTGCTGAAATAAATCAAAGAGGCACAAACAAATGGAAAGACCTCATGTTCATAAATCAAAAATTAATAGTTAAAACGTCCATACTACACAAAGCCATCTATAGGTTCAGCGCAACCCCTATAAAATTCCAATGGAAATAGGAGAAACAATCCTAAACTCTGTACAGAACCACAAGACTCTTAATTGCTAAAGCAATCCTGAGAAAGAATAAAGCCAGAGTCATCACAATCCTGACTTCAAACTATACCACAAAGCTACAATGATCCAAATAGCACGGAGCTGGCATAAAGCAGACACGCAGACCTACAGAACTGAACAGAGAGCCCAGAAATCAATCCCCACGTGTACAGTCAACTGATACTCACCAAGGAAGCCACCAACACCCAGCGGAGAAAAGAGTCTTCTACCAACGGGGCTAGGAAAACTGGGTAAATACGTGGAGAACGCACCATGCACAAAAATCGACATGAAACGGATCAGACTTAACACCTGATGCCATTAAAATTTCTAAAAGAAAACATAGGCAAGAAGCTCATTAACGTGGGCCTCAATGATTTTTTGGCTATGACACCAAAAGCACCAACAAGATGAAAAGGCAGCCTGCAGAATGAGAGAGAGGTCCTGTGAGCCAGTATCAGACAAGAGGTTAATACCCATCCAAATATATAAAGAACTCATACAGCCCAAAACAACAAAAAAAATCCAATTAAAAAATGAGCAGAGGAACTGGATCAACATTTTTCCAGAAAAGACATCCAGATGGCCAAGAGGTACACGAAAGGATGCTCAACATCACTAATCATCAGGGAGATGCATATCGCACCCACAGTGAGATGTCCCCTCGCACCCGTCTGAATGGCCATCATCAAAAAGGTGAGCGGTAACAAGTGCCGGCAAGGAGACAGAGAAAAGGGAGCCCTCATGCACTGCTGGCGGGATTGTAAGTTGGTGCAACCGCTACGGAAAACACCACGGAGGTTAAAAATGGAACGATCTTAATCCCACTTCTCGGAATACACCCAAAGGAAATGAAACAGCCTCTAGAAGAAATCTGTGCTCCCCCATGTTCACTGAAGCGTTTGTTATTCACGGCCACACGGACATGGAAGCAACCTGAGTGCCCATCAATGGATGACTGGGTGAAGATGTGGCACATACACCATGGAAAACTACTCACCGTAAAAAATAATGGAATCTCACCATTTGTGACAACAAGGATGCTGAGTGAAATAAGTCAGACAGAAAAAGACAAATACCATGTGATCTCACCTACATGTGATATCAATCCTAAAGAACAAAATAAATGAATATCGACAACAAAAAAAACCCAGACAGACCCACAGATACAGAGAACAAACTGGTGGTTGCCAGATGGGACGGGGGTTAGGGGAAGCTGGGTAAAAATGGTGAAGGGAGTAAGAAGTACGAACTGGCAGACTAAACACAGTCACGGGACGTGAAGTACATGCAGCAAAGGGAATGTGGTCAGTAATACTGTAATAACTGGGTGGTTAGTCAGGTGGTTACAGACTAACCAGAGTATCACTTCATCAATTACGTGTCTAACCACTAAGCTGTACATGTGAAACATAAAAAATATTGAATATCAACTTTAATTGAAAATAAAATAAAAATAAAGCTATAATGAGACAGTTATAGTCCTAGCGGACTGGCAGACACGTACCTCTGACACCACCAAGCACCGACACAGCTGGTGAGAGGAAACCCTCGGAAAATGTCTTAGCAAGCGCTCTTAGACATTCCTCCAGCTACGCGGCACCCAGCCCTATGTATGTGCCCTGGAGAAACGAGTGTGTGTACAGAAGTGTGTAAGAACATCCACAGTGTCACTGTTTAACATCCTGAAACTCTGAAAAAATTAACCACCAACAGAAGAATAGCCCATTGTAATATAATCATAATTTTGCAGTGAAAACCATCAACACGACTGGATCCCAGAAAAAATGGCTAGTGAAGGCTCGAAAACGAGAGACCTTTTTTTTAGGGCAGCACCTGGGAGTAGAAGCTATAAGGAAAAACAATGTAACATGATCATGGAAGGCTCAGGTCTGGGTGCTTCTAATCCATTTATCTAGCTGGTGGTTATCCAAGTTTTTCCTTTATAACTCAAATTGCATATGTTATATCCACTTTTCTAAATTCACAATTTCTAAAACTTCTAGGTAAAGTCCCAGTTGTGATAACAAAAGCTTGTAGAATAGTACATTCGTGACTGAGAAGTACGTCTTAAGAGTCATGAAAAAACATTGACAAATTCAGCGTAACAAGGAAAAACATGCATATGACAAACACAAACCGAAGAGCTGAACGCAGACTGCGACAAGACACTGGCAGTGCTTCTAACTGACAAACGCTTGGGACACAGAATCATTAACTTCGAAAAAGAGAAACACACTGCACCCCAGAGTTTTCAGTGGGCAAAAGAAGTGAACAGCAAGTCACAGAAGAGGACACCGAAGTGCCCGCTGCACACACGCAGATGCCCGCGTGACCTCGCCAGTCGGTGACCAGGGGAATGCAGCTTCAGTTACACTACCCACCACCCCACGCCCATCGGATGAGCCTGACTTGCAGTATCAAGGGCTGGAAAGCAGGCGGCTCATTCTGCCGATGGACAAAGGAACTGGTGAGACGACTGGACTGGCGAGCCCAGGGCGACCTCCCCCTGTGCGGACCTGCTGTGACCACGACGTCCCGCTCCAACAGGTCCCAGAGACGCTCCCCAGCCCGTTCGTTCTGTTGATCGAGTGCCCCGACGGGGCAACAGCTGGCAAGTGTACGTGGGACACACATCACCACCAAGCCGGGAACTAGCGTGGTGACTGAGGAGCACACTGTAGACACACGTAAGTACGAAACGTACCGTACTGATCATGGACACGACACGGTGACAACGAGAATGAGAATTTGTGCTGTGACGGCAGAAGTCAGGCTGGGGAGCAGGACACACGGGCTTCAACTAGAGTCACAACGTTTTATGTCTTAAGCTGGGTATAAATTCTCTAAGTTCCTGAAATGTTTCCTAAAAAGATCACACAACTCCTTACCTTGTGTGGGCGAAGTGTTTTTCTTGTGTTTTTCTAGCTGGGTTCCTGAAGAATTCTGACTCTTTTGGATTCGAATTGATGAATTCTGTAGTAGGAGAGAACAGAATATGAAATTGGTGCCAGTCTACACAGTAGTACAATGAACAAACTAACAGAACTCAGCATCCGATGAGAATGCATTAAGTTTGCTCATTTGTTGTTTTCATTCATCACTAGGCTAGAGTGAATAAGCTGCTGTGTAGGAATGCACAAGCACGCACACACGCATACACGCAGCCTGTGGAAATGCATTCGTCCCGCAAGTAAAGGCCTGGCAGGCAGCGTAAAGCAGAACAGTCTCTGAGACTGTTGGCAGGTGAGCCAGAGGGGAGGGCGGGGCCCCGGGCCCTCGTCTGGCTCCAACGAGCCCCAGGTCTTGCTGGGAAGACCCCTGGAAGCTGTCCCCTCGCAGGGATGGAGCTGTCGCCCTCAGAGCTCAGACTCCAAACCTAGGGCTCAGGTACATGTCCGCCAGGCTCCCATCACCACTTCCAACCAAAATCTCTCTCGCCTCCCAAGCCCCAGCACCGCCTCCCCTCCTGCCAGACAAGCGGGTCTGAGGCCGCAGCCTCTGTCCCTGGCCCTCCCTCCGGCCTCGGCCATGCTCTCCCATGAACAGGCTCCAGAGCTGGTCATTACCGCTACCCGCAGCATCAGTAACTCTGAACTCTGCCCTTCAGAGCCCTTGAACCCAGGACGTGGAGCGTTCTACAAACTAATGAGACGGGTCTACTCAAAAGGCAGTGCTGTTTAATGCTCAAGCATCAGGAGTGAGATGCCACGACTTCTGCAATTACCTGCAGATGGTCCAGCCACCTACCTCCACACGAACACAGCAGAACGGTCACAGTGGCTGAACCAGGCGAGCAGCCAGGTGTCCGTCGCACTGTTCTAGTTCCAGTTTGGGGAACCTGGCTGAGGAGGAGAGCGAGTCCTCCTTCCAGCTGTCACCGTCCCCCAGCTCATCCCTCTAGCACCCTGACCCCACACTGCTCACAGCCGCAGGGCCTGCGATTCATGGGTCCCTGTCTCTGTCCCTCACAGCGTGGAGCCTCAGCCCTTCTCTGCAGCTGAGATTTACAGGCCACTGCCGTCGCTCTCGTCACTCTGCCAACTCTCCTGCCCCTCTCTCTGCAGTGTCCCCGATGTCCGCTCTCCACCACCCCATACCCAGAAAGCAGAACAGGGAAACGGTGCAAGCCATTGCCCCTTGAACGTGAGCCTGTCCTGCGAGGGCCCCCAGCGTACCTGGAAGCAGGCCGGCCCCCTGCCCCACCCCTTCCACACCTTGTATGGCCATGGCAGACTTCCTCCCCGTCCTCAAACCCAACTGCCCCTTCCCATCCTCGCTGCCAGCGCTGACCGGTCTTCCCGCTTCCCAGAGGAAGCTGACGCCTCTGGAAGGAACACCCTGCCAGGGGTGCCCACATCGGTGCTGGGTGCAGCCCGCCATCCATGCCCAAACCCCACCCCACCTGTGACGCTGCACCAACCTTCCTGCT